TACTACTACTGCTACTGCTGCTGCTGCTACTACTACTACGACTACGACGACTACGACTACGACTACGACGACGACGACGACGACGACGACTACGACTACGACGACTACGACGACGACGACGACTACTACGATGACGACGACGACGACCAACATGACGACTACTACCACTGTAACTACAGTTGCCACTGTTACTACTGTTATAGCATGACTAGCACTTTAGTATCTTCATCACTGTTGTCTCACTATTTTGCTGATTTCTTTAGTGTTCTTAGTGCTGTGCTGTTGTGTTTAATAGTAGCTTGGTAAGATTTGTAGTCATCCTCTTCTTCCTATTTTGGGTTTAGGCTTCGAGGTTGGGGGTTTGGGTTTCGGGTTTGAGAGCTTTATCGTTAAGCCAGAGGCTTCAGGGTTTTGGGCATCCAGGGCGTTAGGCTCGTTTAGGGTCGAGGGTTGCGGCTTAGTTTTTAGGGTTTGGCTTCGGGGTGTGGTCAAGGTCATACACCTAATCCCAAAACCCACGCAAAGGTTGAATGGATGCACGGCGAACAATACAGTAACTGCGCCTACTAACCTGCTACTTCCTCCATTCATAGTAAGGTACCCTAAACCCTAAACCCTATACTTATAAATTCTGAAGAAACCCCAAGGATGGACTATGTGGCTTCTGGCCTGCCGTGGTTCCTGGTGCCGAGCAGGTGCTTCCACTCAAAGGTTGAAAACGCGAGAGACGCAACAATAACGATGGTGGTTGCGGTGGTGGTGGTAGTAGTCGTCGTCGGAGTCGGAGTGGAGCACATAACGGGGAGGAGGAGGCGGAGGAGGATAAGGAGGAGGATAATGAGGAGGAGGAGGAGGAGGGAGGAGGAAAAGCAGCTGCAGCAGCAGTGGTAGGAGCCGCAGCAGCAGCAGCAGCAGCAGCTGCAAGACTGATAGTACTCGAACAGGTAGGGCCTCGTCAAGCCCAGGATCTGCTAACTTGCCCAAGCCCCTTGCGAAGCCTTCAAGCCAAGCTCCCTTAGCTCCTTAGCCGTGACACCCAGAACCGACCACCTGAAGCATGCAGGCTTTCTGCCGGTTGGGGGGACTATGTGGCCCGATTTGGTCCCACAGGGGTGCACGACCACCGGGTGTCGGTGGCTGCAGTGGAGAACAAACTTACTGTTTCCATGAGTCCTGAACCTCCAACCGTACATCGTATCCTTAAATCCAGAATGCCTAAACCCTAAACCTTAAATCCCTGAATCCAGAATCGCCCCAAGTCCCAAAACCTAAACCTCAGACCCGAAACCCCAAGCCCCAAGCCCCAAACCCCAAACCCTAACTCCTAAACCCTACACCCTAAACCCTTAACCCAAACTCCTTAAACCTCCAGGTTGTGGGTGGACTTTGCCTGCCAGCGGCCTGCGATGTGCGCACGGCGGCTTCGCACCTCGTGCCACTGGTGGCGCCCTGGTGGCGCCTGGAGCCGCAACCGCTCGCGCCGTTGAACGAGACTAGTTCTGTCTGCGATTTAGGGTTTCGGTTCCCACTTAGATTTGGGGGAGCCCTACTCAAACCGGCAGGCAGCACTACTTTTTGGGTCGCTAACGGCGACCAGAAAAACTAAAAGCGTTAAGCCCAAGACCCTAGTCTCTAAACCCGAAACCTGAGCCCAAAACTCTACACTCTAAGCCCCAAGCCCTAAACTCTAAACCCGAAAACTAAACTCGAAACTCGAAACTCTAAGCCCCAAGCCCTAAACCCTAAGCCCGAAAAGCCCTAAACTGCAAGCCCTAGACAAGGAGACGCACGTTTGGCTGCCAGCACCGCTGGCAGTGGACCATGAGCTTTTTCCAAGCCACGGATTCATGTCGAGGCTCAGAGGAAATTGGTTCCTTTAACTGGGCGTTGGAGTACCATACTTTAATAATTTTTTTTGGGACCTGTTCCTTAAAGGAACCATTATAAAATTAAACTCTATACTTTTTTCTCCCTGGTTACTTCAAAGCCCAGTTAAGGGGTCCTTTAAAGGTTTCAGTTCCTTGAAAGGGTTCTATCATAGGAGTTCTGGAAGGGTTTCGTTTAGGGTCCTTGAAAGGGTTCCTTTAAGTGGGTCATTTAACGGGGTTCCATTGGGGTTTGGGGTTTAGTATTGGGGCTTTAGAGGTTAGAGTTTAGCCACGCTCCTCTTTCCAGGTTTTAGGGTTCGGGGTTCAGGGCTCATCATCAGCATCGAGTCAGCACGTCGCCATCACCATGTCCATGACTATGACCATCGCTGTCAGCATCGCAAGGCCTTCAGCATCACGGTCCTTTCCCAATCACAAGAGCAGTGCCACCAGAATCGCCAGTTTATGGAACACAAGAAGTCGTATCTCGGACGGCACGTAGTCGAACACTGCCAACAGCGATAACAAGCAAGCTGGCACCATCAACACGGATCCGAGACATATGCATGTCATGTGAAGAATAGCAACACGGCTGCGTATGGACTAAACTGGGTAAAACACTCCAGCATCGCGATATAGCGTACAGCCGTGCAGCAGTGTAAACGCATGCGCAATGGGCCACTTCTCTGCAACGTCATATAGGACAACAGACTTTCAACACAATGAAGGTGCAATGGCAGCATAGACTTGCACTGGAGAGCGGTGAGATGTTGCTTCCCTACATCATCTCCCAGCAGAAGGGTAAGTATAAACCTCGCTGCAGTGGTGCAACACTCTTGTCACACTAGAGCATAACTATGTGGTAATGTAGCAACATGTCGAGTGTGAGCTTGCAGCTAGAAGTAGATGATATGACACACAACAGCACAGCTGAACACCATGACACGACTGCAGAAACAGGAGCCCCAGCGTAGTGGACTCGAATAGGGAGTATGTTTTGGCACCCAGACCGAAGGCGCCGAACTCTCAGCTTAACGCCCTTTGCCCGTGCTGCTAAGGATGTGGGTGTCGAAGCGCTCATGTCAGGGATCGCAGCAGGTCTTCTGCAGCCACTCCTGGCAGTCCCTCGGTATTGGTTTAACATACCTTCTTGGGAGTTTCGGGGGTCTGGAGTAAGTCGAAGAAAGGTTGTTAATGAACCCTAAACCCTAAAGGCAAAACTAGACCTGTTTTTATCCTCACTCAGGTTCGCACTGCAAGAGTACCATCCTCATCTCCGTGCAGACCCGCTTTTCGTGGCCTGGGTTGTGGCCCAAATTTCAGCCGCAATGTGGTTCCTGGGTATCCCAGTTGGCCCTTGTTCCCTTTCTGGAGTCTTGGGTTCCCCATAAATGTAGCCAATACCAGAAAGGGAGCCCTTTTTAATCCTAGGTTTCTGGGCATTTAAGGTTCTATTCGAAGAGGATGGCTCTGAGCAGTGTGTTGGCGGCGGCTGGGAAGCCCAGGACGGGCAGAACCTAAATCCTGGATTCTGTTTCGGCCGCAAATGACATGATCACGGAGAGTATCTTATGGTGTAGTATGGCATGGCATGGTATGGTATGGTATGGTATGGTATGGTATAGTAAAGTATGGTATAGTATAGTATAGTATCGTATAGTATAGTAATAGTATAGTATGAGATGTTGCACTATAGTCTATCATAGAGGATCGTTGTAGTCTACAGTCGTGATAAGAATGATGGTGATTATTGCGATGAGATTCCAGGATGGTGATGGTGATGCGCGTCTTGACGATAATATATGTGCTGGCGATGGTTCTGCCAGGAAGTGATGATGACAATGATCATGATTGTGGTGAATAATGCTGAAATCATTTATCGGGGTCTCAAGTGCGGCATCCTAAGTGAGACTGATGCAGGGGGTCACTGCGAGCGGATGTGCTGCGAATTTCGCTGACCGCCACCGTGCCCAGCTTATCTTGACGTGGGAGCCCAGTTCCCGACAAAGTAAGTTATGGGGTTATGGGTACCATAAGCTTTTCAAATTTACAGAGAAGCTATTGGGTTATGGGTACCATAAGGTGGTCTAATATACACAGAAGTTATTGAGTTACGGGTGCCATGAGGTTTTACATTTTGCATAGAGGTTATTGATTTATGGGTACCATAAGGTTTTAGAACTACATAGAGTTTAAGGAACAGCAACCCGCTATGTAGGTAACTGGGCTCCGAGGGCTATGTGTTGCGGGAGCCGGATCGTGAATGGGCTCAGGATTTTGGGTTTAGGATTTAAGGTTTGGGCTTCGGGTTAAGGATTTAGGATTTAGGGTTCTAGGAGCTGGGCTTGGCTTGACTTTCGAGGATTGGGACCAGGGCTCACCAAGCAGTCTAACTCCCATCCCGGCGGCAGTGCAAATACCCATACGAGCACGCAGACATTTACAAATAGACAAATTAAATAAATAGATACATACATAAATAGATACATGTATCTCTCTCTCTCTCTCTCTCTTTTGACAGTGATATGAGGAGCCATCAACATAGAACTCACGATCAAAACTTCCGACAGCCCTCATGCAGGTGATTTGGATGCACACTTTCTCTCATGGGAGCTGGCTACCTCTTGAGAAGCGCAGTGATGCATACTGGCTTGGCCACTCGACGGATGTGGCGATGAAGGCCATGGGGTTTGCCGGGTAAGTTGCGCCCTCCGGGGTTCAGGGTTTAGGGTTTCAAGGGACCCTACAAGTCCTAAACCCCCTCACCCTATGATCCCACATACGCCCCCATAATCCTTGCTGCTCCGTCAGGTGAACGCCGCATTCCTCCTTCTCTCCGGCCATTTGCGAAGCCGGCCAAGAAGCCAGTGGGATTTTCGAACCCCAAGGTGTCACTGCAGGGTTCCGGTTTAGGGTTTAGGGTTTAGGGTTTAGGGTTTAGGGTTTACAGGGCAGTGCCTGGGTCGGGCTTAGGGTCAAGGGCTTCGGGATTAGGGTTTAGGGGTTTAGGGTTTAGGAAGGGCTTCGGGATTGGGTTTAGGGATTCGGGGGGTGAGTGAAGGGTTCGGGGTATTGGGATGAGGACGTCGGTTTGTCCAAGCATGCTAAAAAAAGGGGTCTTACTTCTGGGGCAACGGAAAACATAAACCTAGGGACAGGGTCTGTTAGACGGCTTCGGGCCCCTTGACCGTACAACGGGAAGTCTGCAAAGAAAGAGCCTAGGACATTGTCAGGTGGGTAGTTAAGCCTTAAAGAACGTCTATATATCTTATAGAAGCCTTATAAGACCCCTATATGCCCTAAACTGTAGTTTCCCTTAAAAGAGAGAGGGTCTCCGCCGTTTCGAGCCCTTACCCTAACCCGGAAGCCTCTCAACCGAAACTCTACCTAATAGGGTCCCTACGGGTACCTAGTTTCAATTTTCGTTTAGGATCTGTTGTCTAGGAAAGTAGGTACAGGGTGGGTATAACCCTGCAGGTAGATTCTAACATCCCATGCCGACAGCTCGATGACCCAACACCTCACACTCTGCAAGACGCGAGACCCCGATGCGACACCACGACTCCTGCCGCAATGATTGCTTACATTCAGAGACGCCTATGCCAACGCATTCATGACTACCCAAAGGCTCCATTGTAGTTCCTTATTTTTGTGGTTCATATTTTGGATCCTATAAGGTAACCACACAAAGGAACTGCATGGGGAGCCTATGACCATCCCGTACATCGATCTTTCTCTCAATCTCGACCAAGTCTAAGGCATGCTCTCTCACAAAAGGGGCCTCTGCTGAACCGGATATCATGTAGACCCGCTTTTGAGGGCGTCTCTACCGCGGGGAAAGGTTGCGGGGCCTTCTTGGTAGATGTATGTTTTGGGGAGCCATGAGACTATGCAAGTAGGCGATAGCTAGACTTCCGCGCAAGATGACCCGAAATGTTGGTGCATGTCATGACTCCAGCTAAAGCCTCCTTACACGGTTCCCGGATCTTTTCGGCACTTCCTAAATTTCTAACCCTATGCCAAGTCTGTCTGGTTGTGAGCCCTCCCTGCTCAGCTACTGCAGCGTTCCAACCCCGCAAAGCTCTGCTAAAAGAAACAGGCCTGAGCCCTAAACCCTCGCCCCAACCCCAAGCCTAGCTGCCCTAACTGAACCCTGAACCCTAAACAGAAACACACGCAAAAATGCCCTAAACCCCAATAGCTGCCCTAAATCCTCTAAATCCCTGTCAGCCCTTTAACAGCCCGTGTTCGGCTCCATGGCCTCTTGAGTCTTCCAAAACCTTTTGAGGAAGGAGGATTCTTCGAAGCATAGGAAGGATCCGATTATACTTCAATCTAGATTCCTTAATCAATTTTAGAAGTTTCCTACACCAGAAAACCCTAAACGCCGAACCTTGAACCCTACACCGCAAAACCGTGCCCAGCCGCAGGCGCATTGGCGTGAAAGTCGCGGAAGCCCTTCGACACGTCTGGCGACGGTGGCTGCGGGTCGGTACCTTTCGCTGGGTTCTAGAAGGGCTC